GGCCTCTCGAAACTGCTGCAAGGGGGTGGGCAGGGCAAGCTCAGGGAACAAGGGGCAGGCAGGGCTGGTGCTGAGTTCACAGGGTACTGGAGAACCCGACACTCGAAAGCCCTAAGTGGAGGCTTCTCAAAGGTGCCAAGTTGGGGGCAGGGAACCATGGGGCAGCTGCCAGGCAAGACCCAGCCCACATCTCCCCATGGCCAAGGAGACTCCCAGGGGCAGGGGCCAAGCACCTGTGGGACCCCCCGCCCCCACCAATTCCCGCCAACAAAGGCCCCGTGGCGGGCTGGTCCCTACCTGGGTGCAGGCCAGGATGCTCCGTCTCTGTCGGCCGCCGCTCGTAGCTGGACTCGTTCTCCTGCCTGACGGCGCCATGCTCAAAGGACTGGTAGCCCTGGTGGTCGCTCTGGTGAGTGTTGCTGTCGATGTCGTCTGCGCAACAGAGACATGGCTTAAGACGGGAACCGGTAGGGAGCTGTGGGTCCCGCTCACTGGGGGCGGGGTGCGTGGAGCTGCACTGGAGGCTCCAGCACAGAGCGCGGTGGGGTTGGCAGGACAAGGGACCAGCCAGGCATCACCAAGGTCCCTGGGGGTGTTTCCGGGCAGGGAAGTTTGGGAGTGATGCTCATCAGGGCTGGGAGCCAGGGAAAACCCAGCAGAGGCAGGATCCAGCTGCCTGCCCGCTCCCCCAGCTGAACCCAGCTGGTGTGGCCAAAACCCACCAGACCCAAAAAACCTGCAAGCAAAGCAAAGCAGCAAGGCAGCAGTGGGGGGTGTAGGCCCCCCGATACCAGGGATCCGCCAGGAGGGAGGTGCCGGGGGGGGGGGCGAGACACAATGTGACCAAAGAAGCCAGGGGGTGATCAGCTCCCCACGGCAGGAAAAGGGGACGGAGACGCGGGACACGCACACCAACGCCGGCCTCGAGGGGCTGCCAGCACACAGACCTCCCTGCACAACCAGCCTGGCTCGAGACGAGGGGGGGCAATGGCTGAGCTGCGCCGGGGAGCCCGGTCCCCAGCGCGGAGCTGCACCGGGGGGCCACATGCAGCCCCCCCGCAGGACTCTGGGCAGGCACCCGACTTTCAAGCAGAGCTGTCGGATCCATCGCCCCGGGGAACCTTCTGCCTCACGTCGCCACCTCCTCCACAAAGCCCGGAGGGCACATCCGCAAGCTGAGGCGCCCCAAAGGTGCCTGGAGACCAGCACGGGACACAAACGGGGCACCTCAGCACCCCCGGGCTCATCTCCGGAGGACCTGCCCTGGCGTTCCCCTCCCCGAGCCGCGCGGCTCCGTATGGAAACGAACCACGCAGCCGGCGAGCCCCTATTGCCAAGGCCCCTGAAGCCGGCGTGCGCTCCTCTGTGCAGGCAGCCAGCGTGTCGCATCCCCACACTGCTGCAGCTAAGGCTGGGGGGGCCCCCAAAAAAGTCCTGGCTCCCAGGGTCTTGAGTGGGTTCAGTACTCCCACGGCACAAAACCAGCTCGGCCGGGAGGCGGCTCCGCTACGGGATGGGGGAGGCGGGGAGAACGCGAGCAGGACAATCCCCACCGCACGCCCGGGCAGGTCCGCCGGGCCGGCCCTCTGCAGCAGGGTGATGGAGGAGAGCCCCGATGCTGGGGCTGCCCCGGCTCCTGTCCCGCAGGGCAGCCTGGGGGCCCAGTGGCCAAGGCCCACAGGAAGAGAGAGCACGGGTGACCCTTTTGGGGCACCTGGCCCCCACCACAGACTTGCAAGTCAGAGCTCCCCCCCGGGGGTTGCTGGAGGTGCACTGGGGCAGGGGGCACAGCACAGCACAGCAGCACTGGGGAGCTCCCCCCACCAGGGGAGCTGCACCAGGAGACCCAGTCCTCATTGAGAAGCTGCACCAGAGGGCCAATGACGGAGCTGCACCAGGGGGCCAATGACGGAGCTGCACCAGGGGGCCCGGTCCCCAGCACGGAGCTGCGCCAGGGGGCCAATGACGGAGCTGCACCAGGGGGCCCGGTCCCCAGCACGGAGCTGCACCAGGGGGCCCGGTCCCCAGCGCGGAGCTGCACCAGGGGGCCAATGACGGAGCTGCATCAGGGGGCCCGGTCCCCAGCGCGGAGCTGCACCGCGGGCCCCGGTCCCACCACGGAGGTGCAGCGAGGCC